AGACAGACACAAAAATGTTCTCAGACACACGCTCTGACGATATTGCTGATTGAACTCGTCGAACACCCTTCTTTCCAAAGCCCACCGCCGGAGGGCGACTGAAAGATCGTCCAGCAGGGGATTGATACATTCCTGGAACCTGTATCGGGAATGAACGTCGCGCGCAACAATGTGCCCATTCACGTTGCCCGAACAAACAGCAGCAATCTCTAATTGATCATGAAATTCGGCGGAAGATAATTGTCGTTGTCTGATAGACTCGTCCAGTCATCTGCATCATGGTGAATCTGTTGGCGGTTCGCAAAAGGGGCCAAAGCGTTATCTTCGGGGAAGCCGGCGCCATTATCTATGCATTGGTCGGTGTCATGTCACTGGGTCAACACGCGACTCGGCAAATAGGCGGCAGGCGAATCGGGCCGACATGAAAGGGCCTATTTGAACAGGTTCACTTAGCAGTGTGACCTCAGGTGAGCAGGTCACTGCGCCACGCAGGGGGGTGAACCACCTTACCCGTTCCTAGAGAGGTTTATATAAAGGTGTTCCGAACACGCTTTGTTGATCAACTATGTAGGGTAGGCTGAATTCTATGGCTGCAAATCTGATGTCTACAACCAAGAGCCGGTTGTTTCGACCAGGCACGACAACCCCCGAGCTTAGCAGCTTTTGGTTGCGGGTAGCGGATTTTTCGAATTCAGCCTATCGAACAAAATTGATTACACAACAAAGTAATTTTCCGTGAAGGTGTTTCAAAAGTGTCCTTTGATCTATTGATGTTCCATGGATTGTCCTGTCGCAACAGAATGACCGGAACACATTCTCTCAGAACAATCTTTGAACAAGTTTGTTTGAGTGCAAATATGTAAATACTACTCCATGCAAAATGGACAACAAACTACCTGTAGCTAGCTGCAAGCTGGCCTCAGCCATAGATCATCCCCTTGTGGCTTTTAGATCAGATGGCAGAGGGGAGCATCAACATTTCATCTCATCGTCGTTAAAATACAAGTGTTCCCGATGACGGGCTCCCCCTCCGCTGGAGTAAGAAGGGCAGATGAGGGGGCCTCCGGAGAGGAAGGGGGGGGGGGGGGGGGGGGGGGGGAGAGTTGCGGGGGCGCAAGTTCAAGGGGTACGGCAGTGCGCGCAAAGGGGGAAGGCGGTCTGTGGGGGCGGAGAGCGGGGGTGGACCGGGGGTGGCTTGGAGAAGGAACAAAGACAAAGAAAAGGAAAAGAAAACAAAAGAAAAAGGAGGATGCAATAAACCTCACCTACGAACCACTGGCCAGAGTAATGTGATCGGTACTGGACGACGGTCGTCTTCGGAAGGTACCCGTCACAGATCAAAGATACAGCAAAAAAATCGTTGAAGAAAAGTAAAAAAAAAATCAACTTAAAACAGAGAACATGCGGGTTACACATTTTTGCAATCCTATGCCGGAATTTCGGCAGAGGAGATTTTTAAGTCCTGGTTTTGACATGGGCCTGTGGTCGATCGAAATTGTGCACACAAAAGGAAGAACTAAACCGGGCGTCGGAGATAAAAATACATATCTATGTTTCTTAAAACGATTTAGCGATGGCCTTTCAAAATCTATAGAGCAAGAGTAATTGCGAGCGAGTCCACACAGGGGATTGGCAGAGAAATAAGAGAAGAAGAGAGAGAGAAAGGGAGGGAGACTAGCAAGAGCAAAGGAACTATGAGACCAGCACGGAGCGCGGAGACGGGGAGGGAGAGAGAGAGCGAGAGAGAGGGAGAGAGGGGCTTGCGGGTGGGGGAGGTTGGGCACGGACGAACAGGGTGAACGGGGGAGGGGAAGCCGGCTTTCTGTTATAAAAGACCAAACTTTGGCGGCGGACGAAATAATAATAATAAAAAAAGAGTCCTTTTGCGCGGGTCACGCAGCGGAGAACTAAAGAGATACCAACTCGCATCACACACACTCACAATATTTTGGTCCAAAACCGTCCAAAATTAAAGAGTAATGCATAAATGGAAATGGACAGCACAGTACGCAGTTTGAATGGGAATGACATTTTATGACTCCAAAATAATCAGGTTAGATTTCAAAAACTCGTAAGGAGATTCTATGTGATTGATGGCCTAAAAGCTAGCCGTAACGTAACCTCAACATGTTTGAAATCACGCGCGGATGGTTGAGTGTTGCTCGGAGGTCTGACATTGGTCTGACGTGGTCTGCCGGTACCCCGCCACGCCACGCCCCACGGTGAACAACGCGTCTCCGGCGATACTCCGCGCGACAGACACAATGCATCTCCGGCCGGGGTATCGTCAGTGCAGCATTGGTGTATGAAAAATACTTGAGCGCTCATCAACCGCTTCCCGCAGTCAGTCGAACCCGCGCACCTTAACGTACGTGAGTCGTTTTGGGAAACACTCCATGAAACACAAAAGAAACGACAGATATTTTACAATATCCACTCGGGTAGAACCAGCATTGAAAGTCACAAAAAGACTTTCCATTGCGAGAGCAAAACGGACATTTCCTCTTGTTCTGAGACAAATTTTACTGGGCCCAAGATTTTGTTCCTCCCACAAATATAACTCATTGGACCGACTAAATATGCAGCTCAGTTGCAATTTCGACATGAATGAAAAATTTCGCTTGGGCAAAGTTTTTGTTGTTCTAGTGGTTGTTGCTTTTCGCGAGCGTCGGAGGCAGAGGCGCTGGATTAGCCCAGGAACCGGCACGCGCGGTGCGGCGCGCCGCGGCGCCACGGGCGCCATTCAGGGATTTCAACGCGCGACACACCAAGGACGCGGCGGCGGCACCATGAGACTGCGATACGGGGGAAGTCGCCGCCATGCCGCCAGTCGCCGCTCGGTTCCGGTCAGGCGTTCGTCGCCGCGACACCGCCCGGGCTTTCGGCTGCTTTCGGCTCGTCGCCGGCCGCCCGGCTTGGGGTGCGCCGCGCCGCCGCCACTCCGCGGCCACGACGTGCAGGCCCTGCTCGCCCTCCATGCCGCCGTCATCCCCGGCCGGCTATTTTGGCCGCCGCCGTGCACGCCAGCAAACGTGCTCTGTGGGCGCACGGCCGCGGCGGCGCCCGGGCGTCGCGACGCCGCCGGCCCCTCCTCCTCTTCTCCCACCCCGCGGAAGGTGGCCGTGCCGCGCCGCTCCGTCAGCGCCGAGATGGGGTGGCTTTTTTATGCAGGGGCGGGGGAAGGCCTGATGGTCGCAGCCGAGCAAGCCGAGGGTGCAGCAGGGTTAGACAGGCATGCGTCCCACCTGTCCTTCACTTGTTGCATACGCATCGCGGCTCGGCCAGGCCGGCCAGGCTCATCGCGTCAAGCCCACAGCCTTCACGGCCTTCACGGCGTGCCCGGGCAAACGGGGCGCACTGGCACTCCAGTTTGAACGTGTGTCCAGGTCGCTGCGGCATGGGGCTTGGGGCATGGCCGGCATGGCGTGCCGAGTCCGGTCCGACTCCAGAGAGCTTTCAGCCCCCGACCGCCCCGACAGGCTCCCTGCCCCTACGCCCCTACCCCCCGACAATGGCCGCTCCGCCCCGCCGCACCCCGCCACCCACCCACCGCCTCTCCCGCCGCCTCTCTGGTGCTGCCAGAGAGACGAGCCGAGCCCCGCGAGCCAAGCCGGGCCCCAAGGCCCCGTGGCGGGCCGGGCCGAGCCGAGCCGAGCACACGGGCTGGGCTCATGCTTTCCTCTCTTCACGGAGCGGGGCGGGGTAGCGGGGGCGGAGGGCGGCGCGGGAGAGCGGGGGGAATCGATAGAGGTGGAGGGGGCAGGCCGGGCAGGCCAGGCAGGGCGGCAAGGCAGGAACGGAGTATGAAGTGTCGACTCTATCCCGCGCGGACGGGGCTGCTGGCCCGCGCGCGACGCCGTTTCACTTTATGCAGCACAGGGACGATAACAACGAACGATGGGTAGGATTCAAGACGCGGGGAAGGTGGCTGGGGAAGGGAAATGCCAAATGGGCGGGAAGAGAGAGGGATTTTGAATCGTCCGTTTTCGACCGGCACAACTGGTTTGCAGCCGGCTAGTATCAAAGTCATTTTTGAGTGAACAAATTTTGAACGGCCACCAAGACCGTCACGTAGGAGCACCCTACGGTCCCTAAACCGAGAACTTAGGCAACCGTCACAAAGTCCCTGTGACCAACATTTGCGCAGCTTTTACACCTTTTTGCACATAGATAAAATGCGCGGCCTCGCTCGGCCAAAAATACCCCCAGAGGCCAAATCCCTCAAAGCCTGCGCGGCCTGCGCGCCGAACCTCATTTGCGGGGCGAATTCCCTCCGGTTTGAACAGTCACTTGTTCACCACCGCGCGGCAAAAAGGGACGGAGTGGGGGGCGAAGCAGCGGAGTTGGGGTGCGCGCGACGCGGCGCGACGCGACTCGGCGGCCCGGTGCCGCAGCGTCCGCAGCGGCGTGAAGGCGGTTCGGCGGCGCGGCGGCGCCAGGAGGGAAGGGCCCGGGGCCGCAGGGCCGCCGCGCCACCGCCACGCCAGCCACGCCACGGCAGGGCCTCTAGGCAGGGCCGCCGAAGAAGGGAAAGCGGAGTGCCACCGAGGGGATGGCCGGGCTGGGCCTAGCCGGGCCGCCCGGGCCATGGCCTCCGGGACGTCAACCAGGATCGGTCCGCCGCACACGGCTGCTCTAGGCCCTAGGCCCCACCGCGCGGCCCGGCCAGGCCAGGCCCGGCGGCTTCGGCTGCGGCCCCTCGCGAGGCTAGCCGCGCACACGCAGCGCACTAACCGCGAGGGAAGTCAGCCTCGCGCCCACGTGGTGCGACTGGCGCGACCGACCAGCGCGGGCGGCCGAGCCATGGTGTAGCGCGGACAAAAACAAGCAGGAGACTGATTCCGAGAGTCGTTTTCGTCGCTCGGTCTCTCTCCCCCCGAAATGGGACGCCCCGGGAGTGCGAGGGAGACAGAGATTCGAAAACGACTCTCGGAATCAGTCTGCGGCGCACGCGTTCTGAACGGCGCGCAAGTGGCTCCAGTGCGGGGTGCGCCGCACTTCCCCAGACCGCGGGGTAGTTCCAAAGTAACAATGGAGCCGACGGCAACCCGATCTGCGTCTGCTCGCCTCCTCCATCCTCCATCAACAGCAATTCTGTCTGGAAATGATTTCGGTCAGGAGCGGGTTAGGTGCAGGTCGCTTATGTCGGGTGTCTTATGCTGAGTGCAGGTGGTGACAGTTCCACTGTTGCGTTCGCATGGCAAGGGTCGCAACTCAATGGCAAACTCAACGCGTGAAAAACGCCGCTGTCCCTGATGACAAGATAGGCCACCCAAAGGCCAAAACTCGCCGTTCCGTTCCGTTCAGTTCCGGACACCTGCTCCGCGTGAGCCGCCATCAGATACAGCAGGCCGACAGTGGTCTCGTCACTCTGCCTTTCTCTCTCTCGCACCCCGACGAGTGCGAGAGAGACAGCACCGTTCGGAATCAGCCTGCTGCAGTGCAGATTCGCTCTCCTCCGGCCACACCGTCAAGCCGTCACCTCGCCGGATGATTTCGGCGTTGGTCGCGCGGAAACAGCTACGCTGGCCAAGAGCTGCCAACCTCACGGCCCGACCAGAGCGATCAACAGGCAGCCACCCTTTGGCCTGGCCTGCTGGGCCTGCTGGTTACCACGAGGGCACTAATGAGTGAAGGCACGTTAGACGCTGACGTCACCGCACCGCGCGTACCGCGGACGCACAGCCAGCCAGTCGGCCGTCATGTTGGCACGCCCCGTCCGCCTGGACTTCCCTGCATCCCTCAATGCTCCCCTGCCTCCCCGCGAACGGCTGCCGAAGACGCCAGAGGACACTGCCCCTCCCCTCTCCATCTCCCCGGACTACTCCGGTCCTCCGGTCGGGTGAGACGACGGGACGACGACGGGACGGGCCCAAACGCCGTGAGCGTCATCGCGCCGCAGACGCCGCAGCGCCACAAAACACAACGGGATGAGATTCTCATACTGGATGCCAGCCGGAGCCAGAGGTACCGGAGGTGGGCCCGGCTGCCGGCCCCTCCCGGGCCCTGTGCCCAGGCTGTGCCCTGGACGGAGCCCGGACTTTCTCGGACGTGACGTCTCAGCGGGCCTAGCGGAGCGGGCCGGGTTGGCCGGGTCGGCGGGGCTTCTTCTTGTTCACCTCTCCACTTTCCTCCGTCCCCACCTTGCCGGGCCGCCGCCCCCTTGCCCCCGCCCCTCTCCGTTTGACACTTGGCACACACCGGCGCCTTCGTTGGGCACAATTTGGTCAACAGGTGAGCTCCCGCGAGGCGTAAGAACAACAACAGCATTTGCCTGCGCGTCCCTCGGCCTTCCGAGATGCCCCGCGTGCTCCCGGGTCACGCTTCGGCTCACAACCTGACCCGAAAACTCAGGAAGCCGGCCGGGGCGCAGGGCGTTTGCAGGGCCGCACGGGTTACCTGAGCAACCTCAGCGCCACGGTAGCCGCGCGCCCTACTGCTTAAAAGGGTTTTGAACCAGGATGAGAAGCTGCGTAGAGACGATAGAATGGTTTGCTGTGCTTGACCCTCATTGTAGAAGCCCGTACTGCTACACCTCAGCAACGCCAGGGGATGTGCTTCAATAAAATCTTGCATGCTTCCTCCGGATCCTCCCCCTCGGTAACCTACTCTTTAGGTTTGGACAGTCTTGGTTACTATGTTCAGTCAATATTCAGTGATTTAATTGGCAGCATTGTTTTTAGAGCCTGAATGAAATGCCTTTTTTGTGCTAAAGAACTTTGATGAGGAAGAAACATTGATGTCAAGAATACATGACCTACTTTGGTGGCTTAAGATCCATTTAAAGCAGTGTCATGCAACAAATTCTTTTCTTTCTGACTGAGAGAAGAAACAACTATTCAAAGTAGGTGGTTCAAAAATATTCCTTTGTTTCAGGTGCAACATAATTTTGATGCTCTTACAATGCGAGGTTTATCACGAACCACAAAAGTGCTCATAGCAGTTGGAGTTGCTTGCTCAATTTTGATTTTGTTGAATATGTTAGAGCTACGTAACATAAGGGAACCTGGACCAGCACCTCAAAAATTAAAAGCAACCAAAGCCAAGCAACCAAAATTTGTGGTTTATACCAAAGATGTAAGTGGGTGCAAAAAAATTAATTTTTAAATAGTTTGAACCATATTAATTATTTACAAAAGAAAATTTCGCATATGGCATTGCAAAGCTTTACTTATTGTTTTGCTTTCAGGGAAGAACAGGACACTTGAAGCATGTGTTCAACGTTATGAGAAGGCTTGGATATGAGGAAAGTACAGTGGAGGATAACTGGGATGTACTCTGGTCACATCCTTACCCATTTACTATACTGCCCGCACTGAAACACCTCAAACCGCACCAAAAGGTTTGTCAATTCAACTTAAAAAAAAAAAAAAAAAAAACCAATGTATTTGCAGGAAGGATGCATAAAAACCCTTATACACATTTGTTACAGGTCAATCATTTTCCTGGATCAGGTTTTATAACAAACAAAGCTAACTTAGCAACAATGGATATACCTCATGTTCCCAAAGCATTCCGCTTGCCTAAGGACAGAGAACTTCTGTTTGACTATGCAAGTATTTTTAAAATTTGAAACATTGAATGACGAACCTGATGATATTCTTTTGAATCATATCTACTTTTCTTTTTTCTGGATAGGTGAAAAGAAATCCTAAAAAAGTATTCGTACAGAAATCCAACCATCATCGTGGTATCAAAATTTCAAATGTGAAAGAATTAGACCTATCAGCAAATGGAACATTTGTCCAAGAATATGTCGACAGGCCTCTCTTGGTGGACGGCTACAAATTTGACATTGGTGTTTATACCATCTTAACATCTGTTGATCCATTACGTGTGTACATTTATGGTGGGGATGTACTATTTAGGTATGACTGACAGTTGCTTAAGAGGAAAAATGAGAGATTTTTATAAAAATATAATGAAGTATAGCTCTTTATTTGCAGGTTTTGCCCTGAGAAGTATCATCCCTTCGATCCTAAAGTTGTGGATAAATATGTTATAGGGGATGACTATTTGCCAACATGGAAAGTACCATCTCTCAAGAAATACTTTACTGATGGTGGTTTTTCAATGAAAGACAGTTTTGACGCATACATGAGAGAGATAGGAAAGGAACCAGAAAAAGTGTGGAAGTCAGTTGAAGCTGCGATACAAGAAGTATACCTACAAACAGAACTATCAATAGTGAATCTTTTATCACAATACAAGACCAAGCAAACTTACTTTGAAATGGTCCGATTTGACTTTGTGATAGATGAAGATCTCAATGTTTTTATAATGGAGGTGAGTTGCAGTTTCTCAATGGAAGAAGTACCTCATATTAAATCAACTTGAAATCATTATTTCCTCTTACAGGCAAATATGTCTCCTAACTTGTCATCTCAACACTTTCCCCCAAATTCCATTTTGTATGAGCAAGTTCTATTCAATCTACTGAGCTTGGTTGGAGTGGGCCAGCAGGTTCACAAGGAATCATTGATAAGGTAAGAGCAATTTAGACTATCTTTAAAGAGTTATCTTATCAACTGGCTATTGTCACAAATAATTTTTCTCCAGAACAAAAGAAGAAATGATCATGCAAGTAAACTCAAAACAATTAGGTGTATACCCAGAAATTTGTGGGACTAGATGTGATACATGCATGGCACCTGAGTGCCAAATCTGCCAAGGCTGCTTGACAGAAGAAATGCACAGGACCCTGCAGGCAGCCTACTTAGAACATGTGAATCGACATGAATGCCGGCGTGTTTTTCCACCCCCGATGGTAATTTCTGAAATTAATACGGCACTACTGAGAAATCAAATAACATCACATGAAAAATTGACCTCTATCTTTTGTTGCAGACTCAGAAAGAGGCAGCAAAACACTTTGTGTCAGATTCTTACTCCCCAGAGAATCAGTTAATGTACCGCTGGTTCAAGGGCAAATGCTTGCTTGACAAGGCGTGGTGTGAGTAAACCAAAGACTGAATTACAGGTGCTTACATTCAATTCAAAGAAGTACAAAATCATTTTAAAAATATAAAAAAATAGTGCCATTTACTCATGAGCATAAAATCAGACAATTCAACAGCAATGTCATTTTCTATTTTTGAATTCATTCAAACTGGCCATTTTAATTAAGATTTAAAGATATTGTTGATTTCTTTCCATAATTATGTTTATTGACAAGTCTGTGAGAGAATCATAATCATAAACTACCAGTATTTTTGCAAGTGCAAAGCCAACAGTTTTATATTTTTTATAATAAAATAAAACATAATAGTGATTCATCAAAAATGTTTTTTCCCTTTGATATAAAAAGTTTATTTGAGAGTACACCTACCTCATGCCAGCTCAGTTCAGTTATTTTCATAATTTTCAACAACCATATCATTGAGACCAAGTTCTTCATTTTGATCAAATGTGCGCTCATAATGAGTGATTGTGAGTGCTGGGTCAGGTTCAGGGGCTGTCAAACTCTGTCAACAAAAGTGTATCCAGTATTAGGTACCATCAAGAGACAAGCAAAAAGAGATTGTTTCATTTTTTTTTAGCTTTTGCACTGCACTCACTTGTACATAGCTGTTTCCAGCTGGATCATCCAAAACTAAAGTAACAGGTTCCTTTCCCTCCAGTATACTATTAAATTTCTGATGGAATTCTTCTAACTTTTTCTTGTTAGCCAGGTCAGCACTATCACTGAACATAACATCTGCATCTAGAAGCTGATCTTTCATGGCAGTCAGAATGCCTTCCACAGTAGAGAAGCGACCACCCAGTGCAGCTGGTCCCACTTCAATATCCAATTCGGGGACTGATAGGAAGCACGTATCAGACTGGAATACAAAAGTAAACATCCATCCATCACAGCTTGTGAATGCAACAAAATTAAAATAAATTTTTACTTTCAATCAGGAAATTAGGTACCTTAAGAACATCTCTAGAAAAGTCCTCTTTGGAGCTTGCTTTCACTTCAATTTTCATGCCCTGAGGCTGTATACCTCCACCACTTTTAACTTCATTAGTTCTTTCTCCACATGTGTCACAATTAGTTGCCATAATAACAACTTCCTTAAAATATGGAATATCTAACTCCCTGCTAAGGAAAATTTGAAACATTCCACCCTCACATTGCTACTAACATTAAAAAACTATAAAATAACATAACTCGACAAAATTTTAAGCTGAATTATTATTGATAAAGAAGGAGAAAAGCTCCTTAAATTATCAACCAATTTCACTTTTAAAAGGATACTTGTGACCTTCATGTTAGTCATGCAAGGGGCTCTACACCGAGGGCAATTCGTAGGGAACTGAAGAACTTCGCCCTGTAGAGTTTCCAAAGTAAAATCTCCTTCTTTTGATGGTTGCAGAAGGCCATCCTGGTTTGAATTCTTTTCTTGATCAGTACCCTCAGCAACCTGAAGATGAACAAAATAAATCATTTACTTGCCCAGGGTAGGTCTCACTAAAGTGAAAAAAAAGTTAAAACCTTACCTCTGACTCACTAAAAATGCCCAAAGAATGATCTTGTTCCTTTGAACGAAAAAAGTGGGTGGTTTGGACACTTGGATCTACATGTGGTGCATTAGGATTCTGAACAAAGGTGTTTCCACTAATGTCCTCAAAAGTCTAAAAAAAAAAGGAAGAAAATTGACACTTTAACCACTAAAGCAACATTCCCATAAATTTGTACAGACAAAATACAATGAAACAAACCACAGTAAATGGAGACTCCACATCTTTCAGCTTCTTCAGTTTCACCAAAAACTCATCAATTTGAGCAGCAGCTTCAGGGTGATCCTTGCGGCGAGCCTCCTGGTCCTGTTCAAGACCTTGAATACTCCGATCAATGACTCCTTCAAGAGTTGTCACTTCTGCAACAGGGTCCAAAGAAATGCACAGAATTTTTTTAAAACAGAATTTTACAGCAGAAACCATTTGACAGTGTGTTGATAAAAAAAGAAAAATGACACAGACACTATGACTTACCTCCTTTCTGAGAAAAAGCAGGAATCTCAAGGAGAACTTCGGGAATGTAGACTGAGGTTGAATCGGACTTAACAAGCTGTCTGTTCAAATCTGCTACAGATGAAACTTTAAGAGTGATACGAACACCTTTCTCTTGAATTTGTCCACCAGGTTGAATTTCATTGTTGCTGAATCCACAGTGGTCGCACGAAAACGACATAATCACAACTTCTTTGTAAAAGGGTATCTTGGTGAGCAGCAACCGAGTGATTCCCTGAAAATGAAACATAACACATAAGAATTCAAAAGAGGGCAAAAGCAGTGCATAAAAACAAATTTCAAGAAAGACAAGTTGTGTCTTGAGCCTATGGACGTTTAACAACAGATATGAATTGTGAAAGTAAGGTTAGAAATAAGTGCCGACAGAAAATTAAGAACGTCGTACATCTTCTCCACAGTTCAAACAAAGACTTTCAATCACTGTAGCCTCTGGATCAGGATCGTCCCCATCAATGTCACGAAATAGTGGCTTCTTGGCAGTTTCTCCCATGTTTCTAGATTGAAAGGAGCGAACAGTGACTTCAAACACACGTGAACATGGACTTTCCGGGTGAGTGTGTGTGTGTGTACGTGTGTGTGTGTGTGTGGGGGGGGGGGCTAGCAGACGACAGGTTGCAGACTCTTTTGAAACCCAAAAAATATCTCAGTCCACTGAAATGGAACTCGCTGCATACCTGTGCATTGAGTGAAAAAAAATCATAAGTGATCAATTAATATGTAAATGAAATGGCTTTCTTCTCTTGTGTCGACTGATTGCTCACCAACAATGCTGAAACATTTCTTCAAAGAAAGGGGCGGGCATGGTGGCTAGCTTGCTGTAGGAAAGATGTCTGCTAGCTGACAAAGTAGCAGAAAGAAAGTCTGATTTGGAATGGTTGAAAGGACGCCTCAGAATATTGAAACACTCGAATTGAAACATCTGTGCACTTTCATCGTTGTTCATCCAATCTCATTCAATAATGCAGTGGACCGGACTAGCCGAACATTTTGCGCCTTCGTGAGGTGTACATAACCACTACTTCAATGTGCCATATGTAACAAGTGTCATGTGTCAAACGTCAAACCACATTTTCGAATTTCTCCAGTTATTCCAGTAAATAATTAATGGAACTTTCGAGGTCTTCAGTCAGATGTCGGACTCCTCTGTTGTTGACCTGCCTATTATCACTGTCATTCATATTTATTCAACTTCTGTTCCAAGTAGGTTTTGATGGGCCGATAATTTAAGACAATGTTGCATAAAATTTATTATTTATTGTAATGACTTGACCCTTCTGCTCAGCTATGGTTAGAATGGGTTGAGGACACGAGAATACCGGTTCGCCATCTCAAGCTTGGAAAATTTAGTTTAAAAGGTAAATAGCACATTTGCATTCATCATTTGGGAAATAATTTAAGTTCATACCTCACATTGAAAGAATCTAATTTTGACAGATGTAAATGATATTGTACTTGTTTGGTGGACTCCTTTCACTGGCAATTCTGGTTCCTTCCTAGACTGCGGAGAAGTGAGATGTTTCATTACTCAAGATCGTCGCTTTCAACACCATCCTAAGTTTCAGGTTTTTTAACTTAAAACAAAACTTTAGTATAAATTTCGGAATATAGCAACTACAACAGCCATTGTCTTCTATTTCAGATGCATCTTTTTTATGGAAGCAATATAGATATTTTTGATTTACCTTTGCCAAAACAAAATAACATTTTATGGTCCCTTCTTCATGAAGAATCACCAAAGAATGTTCCATTTCTTTCTCACAAAGAGGGCATATCCCTTTTTAACTACACTGCAACATTCAGTCGCTTTAGTGATGTACCCTTAACGTTACAGTATGTCTCGGATATTGAATCAATCACTGGTAAGTTTCATTAATACCTGTATGGGGACCTGAAGGTTTGATAAATTTAAGTTAAGTTCTTGGTTTACTTGTTTCTTTTTTTTTTTTTTTTTTCATCAGATCATCATTACGTTGTGCCCATAGAACGGAAAAATAGTCTCCTCCAGCACTTATCTCCTGTACTGTATGTGCAGTCTGATTGTGATACTCCATTGGACAGGGACAAATATGTTCAAAAACTTATGGAGTACATACCTATTGACTCTTATGGAGCATGTCTACACAACAAAGAACTTCCAGTATTGTGAGTACTTATTCATGACTTATCATTGTAGAACAATTTACCCATTCTTGCTTTCATGGTTTTTTCTTTTGGTTCAGAATGACAAATCCAATGGAGTCCTTCAATAGTGAAGAGTTTCTTCATTTTGTAGCACAATACAAGTTTACAATAGCATTTGAAAATGCTGTTTGTGATGATTACATTACGGAAAAGTTATGGAGACCACTTACTGTTGGTTCTGTACCTATTTACCTTGGTTCTCCATCAATTGAGGTACAGTATTCTTCAAATAATGTCACATAAAAATTGGGATTGGATTTTTAAGTTGTATGCTTTTGGATGTGTCTGTTTATTAGGACTGGCTGCCTAATCAGAAGTCTGCAGTATTAGCTTCAAACTTCTCTTCTCCCAAAGAACTGGCAGCTTACCTATTGGAAATCAACTCTGATGATGAAAAATACACAGCTTTCCTCTCACACAAGGGCGGATTAATTACCAACAAGTATTTTGTATCAGAATTAACGTCTCGCTCTTGGGGATTACCCGATAACAGTCATTATCATTACATAGATGAGTTTGAATGTAAAATGTGCCTTCAAGCTCACCTAAACGCAAATGGACATGCAAGAAAGAAGGTGGCTAGTCAAGAAGAATACTTTTGCCCCCGACCCAAGTCATCCATCACAAAACAAGAGGACCCATCAAATCTATGGTTAGATTTATGGGAGCATGGCAAGTGTGAAGCAACTGTTTTAAGCACATTCATTCAGAATGGGCATTGGTATAATGCTTCCTCATTCAATTCTGAAGTTCAGTCTCGATTTAAGAAAGGTACTTGCTAGTTTGTGTCGAGGATGAAATAGCAGTATGACTACAGTTTGTAATTGTAATTTAACTAGATTATCTAAATTTAAGGAATATCTAAGAAAAACCAACTATTTTAAGATAGATTTTTTTTTAATTTGTACAAATTTTAGTAAAGAAAACCAAGATGAATTGATGGAACCGTGCCACAGGCCTTGATCCATAAATTTGAAAATGATAAAATAAAACCAGGATTAGTGATGCAAATCACATCACATCACACAATGTGATTTTCTAATGGACAGTGAACATTATGACTACATGAAAAACATTACAGTACAGTATATGAAAACACGCTCACAGGACTAAATATCAGTGCGAGGCCAGTAAACCTAGCAGTAACATATCAACCTCATAATAATAAACTAAATCTGCATATGACAGTAATGATGATATTGACATAATTTGAGACAAGCATCACACATCACAGTAAAATTAATTATTAAAGACTTAGCTCCTGACAACTATGGTTCAGGGTTCCGATCACCAAATGTTTTGAAATGATGTGTTCTAGCAAAGCTTGAGACAATATAAAAACCAAAAGATTGACAATGATCCAATCAGCAAAGATACATATTCCCAAATGCAATATCACATGTTGTCTACCTTAGTTTACATACATGGATATGGTGCAGATGCATGGGCCATCCCCTTGAAAGTATGAACAGGGTGAGATCACCTATCAGAACCAACACAAGCAGAATTTAACAAACTACTTCTCCATGCACCCCATGTACTTCCTAGATTATGATAGACAGGAATAGGAACTAAATGTCAGTGAAGCATTTCAAGATAAATCAAGACAGCTTTAGTCAAAGGTATACTAAATTCTGTGCAGAAGGGAAGTGCACAATAATAGGAACATGATCGGACCCTCACATTGCAGTTGGATGGCACCACACTAAAAATTAGGTGACATAATTGGTCAAATTTCTACAACGCACATAAATTATATATCATGAAAGCAACAACAGATAGACTTCACAAACGGCGAGTTCATTCAGTTAGCCCAATGTACAGTAAATTCACATGCAACATGAGAATGGAATAATATTTTAGATGGAAGAGTGACAAAAATCCTACATACATAATGAAAAGTTGGATAAAACAACATTCAGTATAAAATGTACAAACATTTGAGAATCACAATTCTTGACTCAGAAGAATAAATAATTATGAAAGAATGAAAACTAAACTTGATGTACAGTGAAACCTGCTTATAATGGGGTTCGCTTACAATGTTCTAAAATGGAATATCACATCTGCTAAGAAATCCTGACCACCACGTATCTTGTTAAAATTCATGAGATTTCCTGCAAGTTAATTACATCATAAGCAGGTTCCACTGTACATGTTTATGATACTGATAATTCAAGTTCAAAGAAAACAACATAAAATCAAAGCTTACTCATGCAATAACACAGTTGAAAATGCATTCTAACTTAGATTCATAAAACCCAAAGAAAAGGATGTGAAAAAAAAAAAAAATTGTTTTAGGCCTTGGCTTATCAAGTTTCCTCTTCCACAATGTAATAAATAACCCCATCCATACAGCTGCCCTCTTTGCAATTGAGTAACTAAAAATTTCACATTAATCAATACTATATACAAAAAAAAAGAAGGAATTTTTGAGGTACTGTATTGGAAGTTTCTGTTTCAATTAACAAAGCCTCTTTTGAACAATCAGTAAAAAATGATTGCATGATCATTATATTGCAGAAAGACAGTGATGTAAACCATCTCTATTGAATTATGCAAATAAGAGTGCTTCCTTTCACAATTCAGGCAAGATTCAAAACACAAGAAAAACATTGTTCTAGCTGACAAACATAAACAATTAAATAACATAAGGAAAATGTGGTGAAATAACAAAACAAGTGAATTTTGAGCCTTCAGTGAACCCCTTGCATATTTTGAAGCTGTTCACAGTTGGAGAGCCTCATGTTCTGTGCTTTTTCATACAAATCTCTATCACCAAAATTTCGGGCTTTCCAAAATAATGTTTCTCCTGGAAAAAAATGTTTTAAAGAACAGGCATTAGTAATTTCTTTAAATTTAAAAAGCGATTGCAATTGATGTTTTTACTCACGGTAATTCTTCTCTCTGTAACAAGCTTGTCTCAAGTTTTGGATATAATCTTCTTCAACTGACATTTCCAGTCTTCGCATACTGCCTTGATGTTCAGTGTGAAAATTATCCTTCACATAGTATGGCACTTTAAGATTCATTGTTTTTCTTTGAATAGAAAATTTACTGTAAAAAAAGTTAAGCAAGGCATTTAATTAAAAAATAGAAATGCTACTTCAAATACCAAAATAGCCAACTTTCAGATTTTCTAGAAAACATATTTTTGGGGGCGTTTCAAACTGGGAACAGCAAACATATTTACAGCTTAAAAAGTTAATACAGTAGAACTTACGAGCTGGGCTGGAGGCTGTATATAGGATCCGATATGAAGAATCCACTCATCATGGACAATAAAATAAGCAGTAAAATTGGAAGCATCTGCATTGCAACACCATAATTGCTTGGCTACAATAAATAACACAAAACAGTTAGAAAAGCCCTAATTTTTTTAAATTTTCAGTCACTTTCTCCAGAAAAGAGGGATTGGTACCTCTCCTCTTTGGTGGTTATGATGCTCTGCTGTCCTCTGCCATCTGCCTCCTCTCCTAACATACACATTTTGGCTTGGTAAGCCACCACCAAAGAACAGGTTGAAAAGTTCTTCAGCAGTGAGGTCCGCTTTAAAGACAGATTAAAGAATAATGTAGTGTTTTTGTAGGGAAGTGTAATAACTAAAAAGGAGCAGTTTTAATTGAACATACCTTCAAATCCTCTGGAATAATTATACTCATGAGCTTGAGTATGTGTGTGGGTAACTCTTTCGTCAGCATTTCCATACAAGTCATACTGCTTCCGTTTTTCAGCATCCGTGAGAACAGCTACAGCATTACCAATTGCTGAAATAATCAAGAAAAGCATTTTAGAAATGACCTTTTTTACCATATCAGTATAAGTTACAACTATTCAAAATGCCTCTACAAAATGTGACAGTACCTTTGAAAGCTTCAGCAGATCCTGGTACTTTATTTTTATCAGGATGCAACTGCAGAGCTAACTTTTTATAAGCTTTCTTAATTTCACTGTCAGTGGCTTCTTTGTCAACTCCCAATATTTCATAGTAGTCCTTGCATTTCTTGATCCTTGTGGGACATGAAAAAAACAAATTAAGGTACAAAAACTTTAGTTTAATTTGATACAAGTCCTACCAGAGAAGAGACAATATCTGTACCGTTTCACAGCCTCTACATGATCCTTATTGTACTCTGATGATGGTGTCTCCTTCTTAGTTGAAGTAGGTTCACTTGTAGGACCTTCAAAAAGGTTGAATGTAAGATTTTCTCTTCAATTGTAGAAAACACATCAGACACCCTTGACTAAAAAAAAAATGCACTTACCAGAGGTTGATGTCTTCCTTTGACGTGGCCCTTCATTTCCTCCTGATTGCTGGGTAAATTTGACTCGCTCCAACAATTCTGTTTCCAGAAACTTCAATTAGTTAATTCGATATTGCAGGTAAAAATGCAAAAAAAAGGTCTGTTTTCAACAGATGTAACGAGCAACTTCTGACACTCTGACAAATGAAAATAACATTATCTCCATAAATTTGAAATTTTACACATAATTTGTTTGACAAAAATTGTGAAGGCTGCTAAGATAAAATGAAATCAGAATGAAAGAGAAAAGTGCTCGTCATCTCAACCTAATATAAATTCAAGGTTGACCGTCCACGGCAAATTGATAGTCATGTGTAAGCGAAGATGGTTCTGACTCTATGATGAGAGCATTGAAGGTCCACAGAACATCAACACTGTTGGTATGGAAGTAAAATAAAATGATGCAGCTCTTGATGAAGAAAAAAAGGGGTGTTGGGAACATAACCTAGGAAGGAAATACTTGCCCTTTGCCCGTGAAGTTGGGAAGAGACGTTCTGCTTTATTCAGAAACTTTTCTGCTTTGTCTATTTTGCCTTCCAATATGAATCTTTCTGCAAATTCTATGCACCTCTCGGCTTCGTCTCTATTACCCTCCATAGTTAAGGTTCCTAAATGGATGATATTTTTTCAGCAAATAGTCAGTCAGTCACTTGTCAACAGAGCAGCTGACGAAAACTTACGTCAGTGGCTAGTCGAAATGGTTTCGAGAGAATCGCATCGGCAGATCGATAGCAGGTGGGGGAAAACTCCTTGCCAACGTACCGGCACTAAAAAATCACCAGAAAGAGTTTTCCTCAACGTTAGTCAATGAAAATTGAAAACAACTTTGAAAACAGAGCTTAACGTTTGTTGGAACGCTATTTGAGCTGTGACAGTCATGGAAGAAAGCATGGAAGTTGTTTCGGAAACGTCTCGGGGTTCTGTTTTGAAAATAATCGAAGAAAAGGATAAAATTGAGAAGGAAATTGAAGCCTTGATGGGAGTGCTGTCAACAGTAAGTATATGTCATGTTTTTTAGAGGGTTATGGTACTTTTGTGTAGTTGCAATTCGGTACGATGCTAAATTTTGGATGTTATATCGCATATTTAAGAAAGTGTTTCGAAATGAATGAGGCCAAAAAGGTCACATTTCTTTTGTTGTCATTGTAGTGTTTAGGTGTTGTGTCATAAATCCTGTATGATTTTTTATTTTTGCCATAGAACCGAGTTGGAATGCACGATCCTTTGGTTGATGCAGAGGGTTATCCACGTCAGGACATAGATGTTTATCAAGTGCGACATGCCAGACATCGAATCGTTTGTAAGTCATGAGCCAAATCTGTTGTTCCTTGTGCTATATGCGCTGGTTTCGTGTCATCTAATAATGATTTTTGCAGGCCTTCAGAATGACCATAAATCTCTCATGAAAGAGATTGAAAGAGGAATCCATGCTCTGCATTCTGGGGGTTCATCAAATGAGAATGATGAGGCAATGCAGGAGCCACAGCCAGTGGGAGACACAATAGCGGTTGTTAACAAAGTGACTCCAGGGTCACCAGCATCTTTAGCGGTAATACATGTGGTGGTGCAAATAAATGCCATTGATGCTGTAAAACTAGCTTACATTTTAACGAAATTTCATCCTTTGTTGACAGGGCCTGGAAGTGCTCGACAGAATTATTGAATTTGGATCAGTTAATTCTGCAAACTTCCGCTCATTGGCAAATATTGGCTTTGTGGCTGACAGCTCCAAAAATCGTCCCGTGACTGTGGTTGTTTTGCGAGATAATCGTATTGTTCGATTATCAATTACCCCTAAACCTTGGCTTGGACCTGGATTGCTCGGTTGTAATATTGTACTACCAGAAAATGTTGATAGGTAAGGTCTTTTTTTTCGCTTTGTATCTTCCAAATTGTACAGAGAGCGTACTGTAAACTCTGCATTCTACATTGATATCCATATTCGTTATCTTTTTTTGTTCTCTTAGTGGCATGACAATGGGTTAGGTATGAAGGAAACAAAAACTCATTTTGTTCTTAAAAACAAATATTATTAAAAATATGATTCGTTCTTAACACATCTACTTACTATAAAAATATACTTTGCTTTTTTTCATATGTGCATTTTTGTGCAAATTCCTAGTCATTTCTTTTTACTTCATGATATTTCACAATATTAGACCCATTGTAAACAAGAATACACCTATAAGCTTAGTCAACAGCAATACTGACAACAAATTTTCCAAAATCAAAAATAAAATACATCCCTCACAAGCTCAGATAAAATAAAGTACCATGGCACATTTTTACTATAACTTGTTTTATATTGAAAACAAACCTGTACCTATTAAATTTCTTAAAATTTTCCCTTAACAACTATAAAAAATATCCCCTTTTAAAAAGGTAAACTAAGAAAAAATTGTGGTCAGTAACAAATGAGAATTAATCTCTGATTCACAGCCCTTTAGAAAAATAAAAATCAACCAATGAAGCCCTTAAAGAATTATTGAGAGAGTCCAAAAACTTTGAGAGCACTAAAAGCAGTAGCAAAAGCAACTTCTTCTGGTTTCTTCTTGAGAAGAACAGAGATCATTTCAACAATAGCTGGGAGAGAGCAAGGTTCATTTCGTTGAAATGTGCAGTAGCGTTGTAAGAACATTAACGACCTGAAGTAAAAACAACATCAGCATGAAAATTGTATGACAACTTTTATACTTAATAACATATAGAAAGGTTACCTTTCAGTTAGCGACTCCTTAACAGCAGGAGGGAGTTTCGAGGCTCGAATGTTTGGGAACATGAAAGGGGAGTCTGTTTCAACAAGAATACGGTCCATAGTAAGAATATTTTGTTCCAGCAGACGTCTCATTCCATCATCTGATTTATCTTTACACAGGCAGCCTGTAAAGTAGATCACAAACATGAAACATCAAGAAATGAATTAAAAAGTCAATAGAAACCATTGGCAATAATAAAATATATAGTATCTTCACCTGACAAAGTAAAGTAAAATCCTCTCTCTAGGTAGCTTTCTGCTTCACTCTGTGACCCTGCAAAGCCACGTAGCACACATACAGGAAGATTGGTTCGGAATTTGTCAAGAATCTGCACAAAGTCACGGTGTGCCTCTCGCTCTCTCAATATAAGTGGTTTATGTAAATCGCATGCTAGTTGAACCTTCAAGCAGATAAAAATAGTTATGACAAAATTCAAATATGATAGTACAAGGAAAGTAGAAGTCATAGCCAAAACACACCTGCTTTTCAAACACATCTTTCTGCATCTCAGGAGTGGAGAAATCCTTGCTGTAGTCAAGCCCACACTCACCAATCGCCACACATTCTGGATTCATGGCAATTTCACGCAAGTCTTGAAGATAATCAGATTCCCACGATTTGGCATCATGTGGATGCACTCCTGGACGATTCAAAAGAACTAATTAAAGTCGCTATCTAGAGAAGGTCACACAAAAACGAAGCAACAAACTGCTGACCAGTGGAGGAGTAGATGGTTCCTGGGTAGATTCTTGTCAAGCGAAGAGCCTCCTTGCTAGTTCTCAGTGATGATCCAGTGACAAGAATCTTTGTCAGTCCTTAAACACACAACAAACACAGTCAAAATATATTCATTTAAAAACAAAACAGGTCGAATCATTCGTTACTTCTTTCAAGAATCGACTTTGACGCTTGTATATGCAGACTTAACAGGGTACACATAACCTCACTCGCTTACCAGCATCTTTGGCTCGCTGAATAACGGAGTCCAGATCCTTGCCGAACTTCTTATTGGTGAGACTCGCGCCGACGTCGACCAGCAGGTAGTTTTCAAAGCATTTTTGCAGAGCCTCGTCCGACAAAACGTCACTAGAGGGAAGGGCCGTGCTGCCAGCTGCCATTGTCGGGGATTTGGGGCGGACTGAGGAGGGGAAGGGGGAACCAGGGGCGGAACAAGGACGGCCGGGGGCGGGCGAGAGGGGGCGGGGGGCGGGGCACCACCACCAGGAACAGACCCAAGCCGTCCCGTCACCGCCGTGTTTGTGTATACACCACGGTGCTGCTTGCTGCAGTCATCGCCCAGGACCGCCACTGGCCAGGCCAGGGCCGGGCAGTCGGGCAGTCCCAGGCAAATAGAGGATCGCTGCGGTGGGACCCACCCGGCCAAAGGCCACTGGCCACGACAGTGCACCAGCAGTGCACACCCCTACCGAATCGCCCTTCTCCGACGCAGATACTGTTCCTGGAGACGTCAGAATCTGTCTTGCCTGAGGGCGAGTGACTCACAAGCGGCAGGGTCCACTTTGCCTGCGTGGCCACTGGGTGCGGCAGAGACAGAGCGACTATCACTCGGCGGTCACGGAGCAATAAATGGCTGGGCCTTAAGCTGGTAAGCAGCAATCCAGCACACTGTTCCGTGGCAGCCCACCAAGAAGTGGCTGGTCCCACCGCCCTTGTCCGATCGGTGCCGAGCTGAACCGAATCGTCCCGAGGGAAGTTCCAATCCGCTCTCCGTGCGCTCGTCGCGTGCGATTCAAACGGCAACAGCCTGGCGCCGGCGCCTGGCTGCTGGAGCCGCGTCGTCGTCGTCGTCCTCGTGGAGCTTGCCGCGACGCCCGGCAGATGGCGGCACGGTGCCGTCCTCGCGGGCGTCGAGGGGCCTTGCGCGAGGTGCCTCGCCGCTGCGCCGCGCCGCGCCTCGCCGCCGCCAGGAGGCGCGGCGGTCGATGAGGGCGAAGCAGCGATCCGGCCGCGTCGTAAACACAGCACGCAGCAGTCGACAGTGCGCGGAGCACCGCGGCGAGCCTCGGGCAGGGCCGCGTCACGTCGCCGCACCGCGACCCACAATTTCGAGTGTGGAAGCAGCGTGAGTGAGTTAGTGAGTGAGTGAGTGAGTTCCAGTGAAACCCCCAGTGCCGGAGGGCCGCGGCCCGCAGTGAAGCCCCGGGGAGTTCCCTCCCGCCCAAGTTCCGCCGTCGCGGGGAAGTGCTCGCGCGAGAAAATCGAGAGTCAAGTGAAGCAGAGTGTGGTTAGGCGGGCCCAACAGCCAGCCAGCGCGCTAGCGCCGCGCTCCGCCCGTCGTCCTGCGTGCGCCGCGCTGCGCGCCGTGCTCTGCGCGCACAGCCCCGTCCTGGGGCGTTCGGTATAGCGCGTCCGCGCGTCGCCGTAGTCTAGTGAAGTGCGTTCCACCAAGGGATACAGCCCAGCCCAGCTTGCCCAGCCCATAGACGGTAAGTGCTGCTGCCCGCGGCGAGTCGGCTTCGCGTTTCTGCTTCGCGTTTTCGCGCACGGCCACGATCCGCCGCCACGCGCGACACGCCCGCTCCGCCACGGCGCCGCTGCCGCCGCGCGGCCCGTCGCTCCTTCGGTCGGCGCCGTGGCGCACGCCCGCGCCACGCCGCGCCACGCCGCGCCACGCCACGCCGCGCCACGCCACGCCGCGCTGCATGGGACCCACGGCACTTGGGGAAGGAAAGTGTAGGGGGAGCAGGGGGAGGGACAAGGAGGCGCGGGGGATCGATCTAGCGATCCGCAGCATGAGCACCACCAGCACGCCGAGCATGGCCTGGGCGGCGGCGCGGCGGCGTGGCGGCGTGGCGGCCGGCAAGAGGGCACCGCTATTACTAACTTTGTAGTTTGTTGGTCCTTTTCGCACCAGAGGGAAAGTCCCGAGCAGCAGTCGCAACAACAACAGCGGCGAACAAACAAAAACTAAATCATGGTGTACACTCGGTTTCTGGCGGCGGGGAAGGCCAGAAAGTCCTCTCGACCGGAGAGGCGCTGAACCGGCGCAGCAGTTGAACACGGCAAGAGCCAGCTAATTGAGTCATTCATCTTGTAGACCTTTGTAATGCAAAATTGAGGAACTCGAGGATTTTCCGAATGGAACTCGACAGCTCGTTCCTCTCTCTCTGGCCAATCAGAGTCAGTTTTATACTGCGGAAGTTGCGCGGACGCGAGAAGTTTGTGATTGGCCAACAAAACAGTCCGATCGTTGCCATTTTGTGACGCCGCGGCATCGGCATCAGTGTACGTTATTGGATCACGCTGCCCACTTTCATCCAGTCCTTGCGCGCTGGAGTGTAGTTCTGATGTCCCTTGGACCGACATTATCTTGACTTTCATGCTGTCTTTGGAATGCACTCAGTTGATAATCCCGACTTTCATGTCACTCAGTTGGTAATCTTGCTCGCACTCGGAAGGTCACACGCACATCATGTGGATTGCTATTTAATTCATTGTAGTCCCATTATTACTTAATGATGGCAGGCCAATCGAGGCATGCGATCCATTGGTGAATAATCAGTGCGTGGAAGAGCCAAAGTGATAGGTAGCGGATGCTTCCAGCAGAGCTTCAACCCTAGCCTGCGATTCGCGAGTGAGTTACCGTGATTGGGGCTTCCAGACCTGCGCCCGCTGCCGCGCAGGAATTCCCGATTTCCTTCCCCCTTTCCTTTTCTTTCCCCATTTTCCCTCTCCTCCTTTCCCATCTTCCTGTCTCTTGGTTCCTTTGGCCGTGTCCTGATTAGGTTAGGTACCCACCAACCCATTCCCCCCTCCTCTTTGCGTCCTCGCGAGCCGCGTCGCGAGCCGACCCGACTCATTCTCATTCATTTTCATTCATTTGGCTTCGTCGCGTTGTGTGAAAACTTTATGGAAGCTCGCCGGCTTGCCTCCCTCCCCCGAAGGCAGTGCGGGCGGGGCAGTCCGGTGCCCAGGTCGGCCTGGTCCCTCCACCCACGAAGACTCGACCCCATGCCCCATTACCTCGTGATCATGTCACGGCGCTAGTGCCGCTAGTGCCCGCTCCGCATGGCCGGGCCCGGCCAGCCCGCTGCCCTGGCCGGTCTCTCTCGCACTCACGGGGCGTCCGGTAAGGCTGCGAGAGAGAGAGAGAGAGAGAGAGAGAGAGGCAGCGACGTAAAGCAGTGCTCTGCGTCGGACCGGGCATCGGCGGGCAGGCGCAGTGCGCTGCCAACTTCTGGAACGCGCACACCATACCGCCTCCTGGCTGCCGCCCACACTGTAAACAACGCATGCACGAGGGTGGGTGGGGATAATCTGAGAAGAGATTCACGTCGTGTGTGTACGCCTCTGCGAAAGGTGCATCGTACCGTACACGCACACTCGCACGGCGCGTTGTTGGCCGCTGGCAACAATGCGTGTCGGGGATGCAGTCGAATGGGTTGCCTGCCTGCGAGCGATCGGCCGAGCGCGGCGCGCGGCGCGCTGGAAGGCAGTGGGGCTGTCAGGCGCAGGCTAGGCAACCTCCCGGCTGTTACGTCAACACAGCAACGCACCACATACCCCGCTGGCACGTGCCCACGTGGCGGGCGGGCAGGCTGGATGGCTCTGTTAAGGCATTGCCTTTGGGAATCTCTGAATCTCCGAATCCCAGCCCCGGAGGACGAGCCGGGATGGCTGGCTGCACCCAGATTGAGGCAGTCAGGCAGTCCGTTCCCGCTCCACTCCCCCGCAAGGCTTGGCGTCGGGCGGACGCGGACACGCCGACGGGGACGCCCTCTTTCTTCGATTGTGAAAACGTCCCGCTGGGCGCGCTGGGCGCGCGGGGCCGCCAGAGAGTCGGCGCCTGCCTGCCCCGTCTGGCCGCCTGTCCCGGACTGGGAAAATGAAATTCCACGGGTGGCTGTCTGGTCTGCGTCTCCCTTCCTTCGGCAGGGCCATGAGCCTCGGGTTCTGCAGTGCAGGCGACCGGCGAAGCAAGGCGTGACCACCATCATCCGAGTGAAGAGTCGTTTTCGGCTCTGTCGTGCGAGACAGACAGTCTGATTCACACGCCGGAGAACTCGGTCCTCGGCGCTTGGCGCGCTTGGCCGTCACCGACTGGGGCCGAGACTGGGGCTGGGACTGGCTCGACTGCAGCAGGGGCTGCCCTGGCTGGAGTGGCTCAGTTCCCCCATTGTCTAATCAGGAATCGCTTCCTCAGCGCCCCACGCCCCGCCACCCCATCGAGGCCCGGAAGGCTCGGGACCAGGGGGCTCCCCTTGCGTCCCCCGCCGCCTTGACCCCTCCAGTGGTGGGTCCACTGGTAGTCGCCTCCACCGGTCTTCTGGCCCACTGTGCTGCGGGAAGCCAAGAGAGCGATGGACAGAGCGACGACGCCGCCCTTCGGGAACAGGCGGCTGCTGACGCTAGCATTCAGAAGCGGGAGAGGGAAAGAGGAAAATCGGCCACGCCACTGTCGGCTCGCGAATCCAGCGAGCGACGCGAAGGCCGCGCTTTTCCCCAGTGCAGGCGCGGCAGGCGCGGCCACCGACCGTCTGTTTGCCGCGATGCGCTGGCCGTGAGTGCGAGTGTGTGAGTGGGGGCCGTCGCGCCGCGACTCGCCGTGCCTACACTGCAACCACTGCAGCGCTGCTTTCTCCGCCATGGTGTGGCCCAGCGTGGTGCGGTCTGCTCCTCTCGCTGCCCCACGCGTCGTACACGACTTACTAACTTCACTCTTCACTGCCAATTCCTCGAGGCAGAACCCCTGCAGACTGATTCCAAGAGTCGTCACTCTGTCTCTCTCGCACCGACAGGGACGTCCCATAGAGTGCGAGAGAGACAGAGCGACGACTCTCGGAATCAGTCTACTGCGAGGCTGAATATGAAGCGGATTGCAAAGTGCGGCTCGACCCGACCGACACCAGCAAAACTCGCAGCAGCACGGCAAGTTCTAGTTGAGATTCCGGTGGGCCTCCCCCTCTGATCCGGGTCCACGCGGCGCCACGCGCCCCGGCGGCCCCAGCCCCGCTCCCAATCAAGGCCGAACAGCGCCCGGCAGTGCGAGGGCATTCGCCCATATTCGCCGTGGTTACCGGCCGGCCGGCCCGAGTGGCGGCTCGGGTGTTGACTGTGGAGGCTGGAGGGGCTCAGGGCTCAGTCGGCTTATGGCCAGATGGGGGAGCATTCCGCGAACCGTATTCATGGCCCAGCCAGCCACTCGCACGTCACAATGGCCATGCCCGGCCATGAGGGCCCTGATCGACCGCCAATATCAGCGCCAAGTCGACGCGTGGAGGCCGTGCCGGGCCGTGCCGTGCGGATTCAGTCAGCCTCTGTCCTCTCCGAATTAGTGGAGCCAATTCGCACCCCCAGCCACGCCGCCAGCGCCGCCCCCCGGGGCCGGAACGGCACGGCACGGCAGGGCACGGCACGGCACGGCACGGCGGTTCTCAGCCGCCCGACACCGTCGGATCGTTTCGTCTCTGTCTCTCTCGCCGTCCCTGCGGGACGCCCCATGAGTGCGACGGAGACACAGCGACGAATGATGAGCACGCGGATGATTCCCGGGATCCCTCGCCGTTTTTTGCGTGCCGGCCCATTCTTTCTCTGGTCCTCTGGTTGGCGGCATCGGCATGACAGGAATGGTGGCGCCCGTTACAGCCGTGCGCCGGCAGGCAGGCAGGCAGGCATTCACACACGCCAGCCAGCCCAGCCAGCCCGTTGGCAGTGTGTCAGTGTGTGCGAATCCGGAGCGACGCGCCATCGCGCCGTACGGCGCCGTATCGCCATCGCCCCCACAAAACGCGTCGCGCGCGCTAACGCCGAGCTAACGCGATGCCAGATACATGCCGAGCCCCGCGCCAAAACGACACGGTCAGGTGTGAGGCCCGCGACTGCGGTTATCGCACTCACCTGCGTTTGTCTGTGTGTGCGTGTGTGTGTGTGCGGGGAGGGCAGGAGGTGGGTTCGCAAACGATACGCGCAGGGATGTCTGTCAATAAAATTACCGTTTTCTTTATTGAAAACTGTTTCCTGATTTGCCGCGGCGGCGCGTGGCTCCACGTGGCGGTCCGCCTAAACAGTCTCTTCCGGCCTAGCTTACTCCGTCGCTGTGCGCGGTGCGGCTCTGGCTGCCACCCCTCGTGGCGTGGCCGTGGCGTGGCCGTGGCGTGGCCGTGCCGTGGCCGTGGGGCGTGGGGAGGCGGCCGCTGGCGGTGTGCTTCTCGAGTCGCGTGGCGCCGACGCCGACGACAGGAAGTCAGCCCGGGGGTGGGCCGGGGCAAGGCTGGGGTGGGGGTTGTTTCCATAAAGTGTGTCACAGCGAGGTCGGTGTCGGCTCGCTGGCTGGCCGCGTCATTAACGCCCTCTGTCTTTCTCTCTCTCTCGCACTCGCGGGGCGTACCGTAGAGAGAGCGAGAGAGAGAGAGAGAAGAGAGAGAGAGAGAGAGAGAGAGGGAGGGAGGGAGGGAGGGAGCGAGAGAGTGACTCCGGGCCGGGGACA